AGTTTTTAAACTATGTTTTATATTATAAGCCCATCAAAATCCTTTCCAGAGACAAAGGATCCCTTTGGGTCCAGTAGTATGCCCAACATCATGCCATGCATGAGCTCTCCTTTAATACAACAAGCACGTGACAGAGAGATGAGTGGTCTTATGATGTGCGGATGGAGACATGTTTACCTGACCTACTCCCCAGGGTTGTTGGGAGGATCAAATGCCACAGCTTTTTCTAAACACTAAAGCACTATAAAGGAGCCCTGGTGGCACAGTGCTTAAGTGCTCGGCTGCTAACTTGAAGGTCAGTAGTTTGAACTCACCTCATGAGCCACTCCATGGGAGAAAGATATGATAGTCTGCTTCCAAAAAGATTTACAGCCTTGGAAACCCCACAGGGCAGATTTACCTTGTTCTATAGGGTCGCTATGAGTCAGAATTCACTGGACAGCAATGTGTATCTTATAGATAAGGAAACAGGCCCAGAGACATAAAGCAACTTGCTCAGAGTCACACAGCTAGTAAATGGCAGAGGCAGAATTCAAACCTAGTACTCTCTGCTCTCCCACCCTTGGTCTCTTCTCTCTATAAATGTCCCTACCAAGGCCGGTGCTGCAGCCCCATGTCCCGGTGCCATCCTATGCCCCACTGCCCACCCTCCTTCTACTTCTGCTTCTACTCTATCAATGAGGAGCCCCCTGAGAAGCTGTGGAGGGGATCTTGGTTCTAAACATCAAAACTCAGGTCTACACTGCCATTGTGGAAAGATTCGGATGCCACGGGGTTGACATCTTAAGAGAGTCTGGCACGTGTAGCCAAGAATTCTCTCACCCTTTTTCACCTAGTGCTTAGCCTAAGCAAGAAGCCATAAGAAAAAAACAAAAAACAAAAAACCCACCACACAGAGATGTCCATGGCAGTATTGCGCGTCATGGACAGAAGAGTCCAGCAGTGGGGAAGGGCTCCGTCAACAGAGCTCATCAGAGGGCCAGCATCATGGGGGGCTCCCAGCTTGGTTTAAAGCTCTGTGGTCTTGGTCTTGACCTTCTTCATCTTTGAACTTGCATTTTGTAAGTGAAGTTCGGTGAGCCGATGGGGCACACTCATGAGTAGGCTTGGTAATCGGAAGAGCTTTCCAGTTGAGAGTCCTTTATGGCACGTTTGCCCTCGTTTCTGAGCAAGGCCCCAGCTAATTAGGTAGCTGGTCTTGCACATAGTAGCGGGAAGGGTACTGGTCTGGGAGCCAGGAGAGATGGGTTCAAGGTTACCCTACCCTATAGGCCGCAGTTTCCCCACCTGTAAAATGAAGGGTTGGACCAGATCATCTGTGATTCTATGAGCATTACGTAGCCATTAAAAATGGAAACCATATGCAGACTCTTTCAACATCCAGACCAGTCAGTGCTGGGAGAAAGGAGAGTGGGAAGATGCAGACGCGGGAGGCCAGCCAAGGACAGCTGAGCGGCTCACCAAGGAACCAAGGACCAGGAAGGGAGCAGGTTCCACAAGGTGGAAACGAACTGGAGTGCTTCCAGCTTCTCTTCTGCTGCTGCTGCTTTTTTTTTTTGGTGCTGGAACCTGGGATCGAACCATCTTCAGCTTCTCTATAAGCTACTGAAGTTCTCAAAGAAAAGAAGAGCTTCAGAAGCTAGCAGGAGGGAAACAACAGTGAACCCAGGGAATTCTCCTGAATGGGAGGGTTTGCCTCTGGCATCATGAGGCCAACTGTGCGGCTCCCACTAACCACACCTTCTCACTCTCTCTTTCCCTCCCCAAACCTCCTTGGATCTCTCTTCCTTCCTTCCTTCCTCTACCGGATATCCTGTATCCCGTTCCTTCTCTACCTCTGTGCCTGTCACCCTCCCACCCCATCCCCTTCACCCACGCCCACCCACCCTAGAACTGAAGAGTGAGGAGAGGACAGGACTAGGCAGGGTGGATGCTCTCCCCTCCCTGGCCCTGCAGGGAAGATGGGGTGGGCGAAGAAGGGCTGGGGGGCACCTCCAGGGCCCCTCCAGCCCACCCATTTCTGTGATGCTAAGCTCGGTGACATCTGAGGTTCTGACACCCCCAGAAGCTGAGACTCCATGACACCCCCCCCCAACTCCAGTGCCGCCAGGAGCCCTGAGTGGGGTGAGAGAGCTCAGAGGAGCTGCCTGCCAGCGAGTGGGGAGGCAGGTGGGAGGGCTGCGAAAGGGGAACAGGTGGGAGAGAAGGTGAGTCAGCAGGCACAGAGTGGAGCAGAGCCAGCAGGAGTTTGCAGGGAGCAGCGTCATAGCCCGGGAGCCTCTCTGTCGCTGGGGCTGGCTCTCAGCACCCTGGTGGCCGCCTCCCAGTGCCCTCTGAGCCCACACTGGGCTCCCCTTTGGCCCTCTAGAAAAGTCCTGGCTTTGGGTATTTGTCCAAACTTGTCCACCCTGGGTCCCACAGATTGCATGCAGGTTAACAGAGGGTTAAGGCCCCTCCAAAGGGAGTGACTCTTACAAGTGTCTGAGCAAGTAGCAGACTGATGACAAAGATGTTTGTCACCTTCATCATGTCACCACATCATCCGGAAAGGGAGGCCCATGTAGGGTGGGCCCTACGTGTACTCCTTTCCCCACCCTGTGTGCCCTGGCCTCCCTTGGGGATGGAGGGCTGTGTCACTTCTGAGATGGGTTCTAGGTTGAAGGTTCGGAGCCCGAGAGTGCCTGGGGCCAGGCCTCTTCAGTTACTCCTCAAGGAGTTAATCCCAGTTACTTCTTGAGGCGTAGGGCGTAGCTGAGACTGTAGCAGGCAGTAGAGGATGCCATCCCGGGGCCCTTCTGCGAGTGTGGGAGGGTGGGCCATGAGAGCTTGTCTTGCTGAATGACCCCCACGACCCTTCCCGGCTCCCGAAGTTCACAGGTGCACTCTGGGAAATCCAAGGCCAGCTCTGGGTGGGGGCAGGGAAAGGAAAGAGGCGTGCCCTACCCCTCACTTAGCCCCTGCCTCGGGGAAGGTAGGAATGAACCGGAAGCAGGCCCCTCAGCCTCTGTGACATCATCCTCCTCTTGGTTCAAGCCAACCTCTTAGTTTCCTGGGCCTCGGTTTTCTCATCTGTGAAATGAGACCCTAACTAACCCTTATCCTAACTACTCCTTGGAGTTTGGGAAGGGCGCTATCCTCTACCAGAGGATGCAAAATGTGTTACGTAAATGGGAAACATGAAGAGTAATTGGTAGGAGGGGGAACTTGGATTCCAGGCCAGCCTCCTTCTCCAAGGACAGAGGGCTCAGGCCAACTGTCAGAGCATGGAGGACGCACAGTGATTCACTCAAACGGCAGTCGCATCGCCAGTGCTCGTGAAATGTAATTCACAAAGCTGCCCACCGCACTTCACAGTCGACGAGCTAGTCTGCTGCTTCCCTGTGTTTCCTGAGGTAGCTGCCGCTTTGTGTAGAAGATTCCTGGGAACAGGGAGGGTGCCGTGTCCTCTGCTTCTTTACAGCCCAAGTGCTGGATCCACAGTAAGTGTAGAATGAAGCCAGACCTAGAAGATACCATCACACTCCCCGGGTCTGCGACAGACTGGCAAGCAGAGCTGCAAGCCCACCCTCTGCAACATGTCCATTCTTCCCCTGATGTGACCTGGAGTCCCTTTTCCCAGCCATGAATCTGAGCTGGCCTCGTGACTTGAATTGGCTGATAGAATGCAGTAGAAGTGACATCACACAACTTCAAGGCTAGGCCTCAAGACTCCTTGCTGCTTTGCCCTTCAGGCTGCTGCCCTGAGGCCCCTATCAGAACACTGGTCCAGCTGCAGGAGGAGGAAGGGCCCTGTGCAGGAGACCCAGGCAGCCCTCTGTCAGACACGTGGGTGAGGCCATCTTCACCTTGCAGCCTAGCTGACACTCCAGCAGAAGAACATGGCTGCCTGAGACAGCCAACCCAGCCCCACTCTGAATCATGAGAGAACAAATCTGCTGAGCCTACAAGTTGGAGGGTGGCTTGCTTCATGGTGCAGGCTAACTGAAGCCCAGGGAAGGGAAGGGGGATGCACTCAATGTCCCACAGTGACAGAGATCAAGACCAGATGAGGACAAGGTTCCCCAGCTGACCCCAAGAGCCTTCTCCCCCAGTGTCCTGCAGCCAGCTTCGGCAGCTCAGCCTGCGTAGGGGTGTGTGTGCGTGCACGCGCCGGATGTGTGGGGGCGTAAAGCGGTACTTCCACTCCATTATAAAAGGCTGGCTGACATCCACGAGCTCTTCCTGCCCATCGTCTCTGGGAGGGAGGTATGGTTAATCACATTCTACAGACTGTGAAACTGAGGCCAAGAGCCAACAGCCATCTGCTGACACTCACACGGCTAGTGAGTAGGAAAGCTCTCACTCACACCCGGGTCCTCTGACACCAACTCAAGGTCTGTCCCATTGACTCCAGGAAGGGTAATGGCAGATGGGAAAGTTCCCTCCACAGTCCTTCCTAGGATCAGCTCTCAGAAAGGGACACACACCACACACCACACACCACACACCACACACATGTTCATTCTTTCTTCCTCCCTCCCTCTTCCCCACCCCTCTGCCTTCCACCAGCCGACCCCTACTGGACTATATACTTTATTAAAAATATATCATTACAAACTCCATTGTCCGTCTGGCTGGGGCTGGGTGCCCGGAGGGACCGCTGGGAGGGCCGGGCCCTCGTCCTGCCGCTCCAGGGCACCCAAACCCAACACCACCCAGGGGTCAACACGGCTGGCTTGCGTGGCCTTGGGGGCCAGCCAGCTGGGTGCAGAAGGGACTCAGCTTGACCGACGGATGGGGAGGGGCGGGGGTGCACAGAGAGGGACTGCATCCCCTTGTCCTGCAGGTGAACATGGCGGAAAGTGGAAGTGGTACCTCCATTTCCCTCGGTTTATAGAGAGTTACAAAAGAAAGCCACGAGCAACAGGCCACAGTCATGCAAAGAAACGTGCCCCCCTCCCCCCGACCAAGCCCCGGCCCACCCCAGAACCCCGACGCCCACCCCAGCAGTCCAGCCGCCTTTCCCAAGGTCCTGAGAGCAAAGGGGCATGTCCTCCAAGGGTCGGTGGGGAAAGGGTGGTGACCTGGGGTCCCAGAGCCTCCTGTGGGTAGGGGCTGGAGAAGCCGGGCTGACAAGGTGTCCTGGGCCTCCTGGGCCCATCCTAGCTTGTGCTTTGGAGCTGGCAGGCAGGGGTCTCCCAGTCCTGTAAGCCCCTGCCTCCCTCCAGAAGGTGCCCTGAGCCAGAGTCTGCTCTGTCCTGAGTGTGGGCGGGGGTGTCCTGACATCCCATCCCCGGCAGAGGCTCTCCCAGGAAGCAAAGAGGGCGGGCCTGGAGGTCAGATGGCGGACTCCCTTCGGTAGGAGATGTTGTCCAGCGGGAGTGTGGCTTGCATTCGCTCCAGATCCAGGTGACTGCCAAACTCCAGCATCCGGATGATGCCCGCCTCCTCCTTGGAGCCCGCCTCCAGGCCCAGGCCCGCAGCCACAGCAGCCGCGGCCGCCGCCTCCTCCTCCATCTCCTCTTCCTCCTGGCTCATGAGGGCCAGCTCGTTCTCATAGCAGAAGGCACTGGGCGGGGGTGGCGGGGCGGGCAGCACGGTGATCTTACTCTCCTGCAGCTCCCGGGCGGAGCAGCAGGGCGTGCCAGCCACCTCGTAGGTCTTGTGGAAGCGCGAGTAGTCCACCTTGTAGTGGCTCTTCTCCTCGAAGACCACCGGTTCGAAGCGGTGGCCCCATAGGATCTCGCTGGCCAGGTAGGAGCTGCGGGCCTGGGTGGTCATGGCGGTGGCCTCCACCATGCCCTCGAGGATGACTACGATCTCGAAGTCTTCTGACTCCAGCTCCTCCTTGCCCATCCCATAGAGTGGGCTGTCCTCGTCGATCTCGTGGACGATGATGATGGGCGACACCAGGAAGATCCGGTCCAGGCCGATGTCATAGCCCACGTTGAGGTCCCTCTGGTCCAGCGGCAGGTACTCGCCCTCCTGGGTCATGTAGGGCTTGATGAGCTGGGCCCGCACATGGGCCTCCACGATGTGGCTCTTGCGTAAATTGCCCACGCGCCACATCAGGCAGAGCTTGCCGTCACGCACCGAGATGACCGCGTGGTGGCTGAACAGCAGCGTCTGCGCCCGCTTCTTGGGACGTGCCATCTTGGCCATGATGGTGCCGATCATGAAGGAGTCGATGACGCAGCCCACAATGGACTGGACCACCACGGCGATGACCGCCAGCGGGCACTCCTCCGTCACGCACCTGAATCCGTAGCCGATGGTGGTCTGCGTCTCCACCGAGAACAGAAAGGCTCCCAGGAAGCCGTTGACGTGCATGATGCACGGTTTGGGGGCCACCGGGGCTGCCCCACCACTGCCCGCCGGGGCGCCTGCTGCGGGCACCGCTGGGCTGACCTCCAGGTCGCCGTGGAAGAAGGCAATGCACCAGAAGAGGAGGCCGAAGAAGAGCCAGGAGACGAGGAAGGCCGCGGAGAAGATCATGAGCATGTAGCGCCAACGCGTGTCCACGCAGGTGGTGAAGATGTCAGCCATGTAGCGCTGCGACTTGTTACTCAGGTTGGCGAAGTACACGTTGCACTGGCCGTTCTTCTTGACGAAGCGGTTACGGCGTTTCCGCCGGGGCACGTGGGCCTGCCCGTTTCGGCTGTGCCCGTGCATGTCCTGATGCCGGCGTGCTCACCTGGGAAGCTGCGGGGCCTGGAGAGGAGAAGCCAGACACGTGAGATGCTGGGGAGCCAGAGATGCCAAGGACACCAGGCTTGGGGTGTCAAAGACGCTCAGAAGGAAAGAGCCTGCACTTGAGCTCAAGCCTCCTTTAGGAAGCTGAGGCCCCCAGGATGCGGATCTCGGCCCCAGACCCTCCAGACCTCCTTTCCCTGCTGCTAGGGAACTTCCTGACGCCATCTTGGCTTCCCTCTCCCAGCATTCTGTCCCCCTTGCCTCCCTGGGGTCAGACTCTGCTACCTGGGGTCTCACGGGGTTCTCCTTTGCTGTCCAATAGATAGCTGCTAGCCACCTGTGACACTTTACATCTAAATTAGTGGCTACAAAGGGCTGACACACGGCAACGGTTGTAAGGGTGTACAGCACCGGGCAGTGTTTTGTTCTGTTAGATATGGGCCACTGTGAATGATACAACTCCTAACAACAACAACAAATAAAATTGAATCCTCACTTCCTCAGTCTCAGTAGTCACATTTCAGATGCTCCTTGGCCACATATTGCTAGAGGCTACCGGATCGGAAGGGAGCTCAGGTAGCGTAGTGCCTAAGGCACTTGACTGCTAACCAGAAGGCTGGTGGTTCAAACACACCAGCCACTCCTCAGAAGGAAGGCTGGGCAATCTACTTCCGTAGTGATACTGCCTCGGAAACCCAAGGTGGGGTTGTTATGAGTTGGGTCCGACTTGATGGCACATAACAACAACAACAACCGGATCAGACAGAACATCTCCATCACTGCAGAGAGTCCTATTGGAAGGTGCTGGGACCTGCAGCCTCACCTCAGCTCCTCTCTTGGGCCTTCCCCTCCCACTGTTGCTTTGAGTCTCTGGACCCAGAGTTCAGTACTGTCCCAAGCTTGTCAGGAGCGAGGTGGGAGGAGACTCCAATGGTGAAGATGGAGGAAGGACAAGCCCTCGCGCTTTGGCCCTGGGCGCCAACGTTGCTATCTTCAGGTGAAGAAACAGGGGCTCGGGCAGCGGAAGTGAAGTGCCTAAGGCCACACAGCTGGCACATAGTGGATCCAAACCCAGGTGGGAGTAACTCTCCAGCTCCCTGTGGCTGTGTTCATGGTGTGGAGAGACAGGGAGTCTGTGTGTGGGGGGGTAAAGCATACCTGCTGCCTCGCTAATTTGCAACTCATTTCACCTCGCGGAGCCTCAGTTTCTTCATCTGTAAAACGGGGCTCAAAATCCCCGCCTCACAGGACCTAAGGAGAGACTCTAACCGAAAAATCAAACTCACTGCCAAGGAGTCAATTCTGACTCACAGCAACCCCCACTGGGTTTTCAAGGCAGTGAATCTTTACGGAAGCAGATTGCCCCATCTTCCTTCTGCATGGCAGCTGATGGGTTTGAACTACCAACCCTCAGGTTAGGAGGCAATTGTCTTAAGCGCTGTGCTACCAGAACTCCTTCAAGGAGAGGCTAGATGCTCTGTTAAAGCCAGCAGCCCTCCTGCCTTCCTTCCTTCTTCCTGGGAGCAATAGGAAGCTGGCCAGAGGCATGACTCCTTGTCAGTGTCCCCAGCTGTTTCAGTGGAGGAACCCCCCCCTCAACGGCAGGCACACCAGCTGGGCCCATCCCTCCTTCATCCCTTCCCCCTCCCTTCCATAGGGGCCCCAGGAGAGAGAGGGTGCTGCCCGGGGCCCCAGGGCTGGCAGGGCTGGCCATGCTCGGGCTGCGGGTAACATTTTGGCACAGAATTATATAAGGCTGGAAGTTTCTATTTTCTGTCCCATTCTTCTTCCTGATCTAATTGTGCATCTGTGGCAATGTTTATACACTTCCCCGGTTCAGGACAACTCGGTTGCCGGAGCAACCGGTGCGCGCCAACGCTGTAATTTAGAGATCAACAGCTTCAAGCCTGCCTCTTCCAGGAGAAACTCCTTCTCCCAGCCCAGGGAGAGCGAGCCCTGCCACCACCTCCTACCCGCGGTCACCCCACCCCAACTCGAGGTGCTTCTCCCTTGCCCCCTTGAAAGGAGCTCCCTGGTTCCCACAGTCATGGGTTTGAATTCCGGATCTGCTGTGTGCCTTGGACAAGTTACTTGACTCCTCTGAGCCTTGGTTTCCTCACCTGGAAGAATGGCAATACTGAGGGCCATTGTTAGACGCCCTAACAGGTAATGGGGGCGTGGCCTCTGGTGCAAAGCAAGTTGTAATGCAGCCAGACATGCCAGGCCCTTCTGCTAACTTCCCCCGGAATCCCACCAGCCAGGGCGTTTTCTATCAGGTCTTCCTTCACTAAAAAGGTCCCCCCGCCTTGATTGCACCTGCATTAGCACTTGTCATTGTACATCGGAGCCAAAGTAGCTTAGAGACAGAATGGCTGGCTGAGGGTCCCAGGGAGAGGCTGGGTGGGGTCAGCACTGGACCCAGGTCCCTTACTCCCACTCCAGAGCTCCCGGGAGAAAGTCAAGGTGCTCCTGGGAAGAGAGACCCCTTCAGTCTTCCCCACTTCCTCCCTAGAGGGGCTTAGAAGGGTTTGGGGTGAGGGAAGAGAGGGCAGCAGCCCAGAGCCCCAGCAAGGCCTGGGCCCACTCCACAGGCATCTGGGAGAGAGGCAGAGGAACAAGGCCCTTTGACGGAACCTAGGCCTTTGATGGGGGGGAAGTGAGGCCCAGAGTGGGCAAGGGCCCTGCCCAGGCTGAACCTGAGCCCAGGGCGCTGGGGGACCTCCTGGTTCTCTGCCCAAGGGACTGGGCTCTGACCTGGGGGTTCATCTGGTGATGCACGAAAGGGGTCTTCATGGGGCTCCCACCCTCTTGGCAGAGACTCTGAGGGGAGAGGGCAATCCCCTCATGGCCATAGGAAAATGGAGACTCCTTGGGCTTCCCCTCACTTTCACTGCCCACTGCCCCCCATCAGTGAGCTGAAGTGACTGGAGTTTGGTCAAGGACCCAGGGTCCGCCCTGAGGTTCCACATGTCTCCACCCCGACACTCACCCTGACCTCAACATTCACACCTCACCCCAACACTCACTTCTGAACCCCAACAAATCCCAACCCCAACACTCTCACTCACCCCAACCCTAACATTCATCCCCAATCCCAACCCTCACTCCAACCCCAACTCAACGCCCCCCCAGGCCCCAGCCTTCTACCGCCCTGACCCCCACCACCCCTATCAGCCCCACATCACAGCCCTACGGGGCACAGTTTTATCCTGCTGACCACTGTGCCTCCTCTCAAGCTCACTGTTTATCTGAGTCCCTACTATGTGCTCTGGTGGTGTAGTGGTTAAGGTATTTGGCTGCTAACCAAAAGGTTTGAACCCACCAGCTGCCCCACAGAAGAAAGATGAGACAATCCATTTCTGTAACTATTTATAGCCTTGGAAACCCAACAGGGGTCGCTGTGAGTTGGAATCGACTCTGTGGCAGTGGGTTTATTGTTTTTTGTTTTTCCTTACTATGTGCCAGGCCCTGTGTGGCCCCTTGGCCCATATTATTGACGCTCCCAATGCATCCCGAGGCTTGGAAATGAAGCTGTCTCCCCAGGCACACTGTGGCCCCCTGACCCATCACCCTCTGCCAGCAAGGAGGCTGGTCTCGGTGACGACCTGTAGCTGGTGAGAGCCCGGGAGCTCCTCTGCCAAGTGACCTGCTAAAGGAGACAGGGCTCCTGTCGCCATGGGCTCGCTTGGCAGGAAGGAGAAGTTCACCTGCCAACACGTAGGCTGACTGGCACAATGCCACCACCGAAAAAGTAAAAAGTACAAAGCCCAGCGGGGTGTTTTCATTGACAAACCCCAGGAGATGGTCAGATTTTCTTCTTTGTCACACGGGGCTTCCTGGGGTGAGCACACCACGCAGGGATACGTGTGAGAGAGAAGTGAGTGTGGACAAGGGAGAGGAGCAAGCCACACCAGCAAACCATCCTCCTGAGGAGAGACGTCTTATTCTTTTTCAAAAAGAGCCCTGGTCACTCAGGTGCCTGTACTGTATCGTCAGTTTGTCCTGCTGGGGTGGCTTGCGTGTTGTTATGAGGCTGGAGGCTATACCATTGGTATTTCAAATACCTGCAGGGTCACCCATGGTGGGCAGGTTTCAAAGGAGCTTCCAGACTCAGACAGACTCGGAAGGAAGGCCTGTTGATCTACTTTCAAAAGTCACCCAACGAGAACCGCACGGGTCACAACAGGACACTGTCGGCGATAGCTCTGGAAGATGAGCCGCCGTGGCTGAAAACAAAGCCCACTGCCATTGAGTTGATTCGGACTCACAGCAACCCTACAGGATACAGTAGAACTGCCCCCTGGGGTTTCCAAGGCTGTAAACCTTTACAGAAGCAGACTGCCTCATCTTTCTCCCTGCAGAGCTGCTGCTGGTGGGTTTGAACTGCCGACCTTTTGGTTAGAAGCTAAGTGTTTAAACTGCTTCTGTAAAGATTTGCAGCCTTGGAAACCCTAGGGGCAGTTCTACTCTGTCCTCTAGGGTCTCTGTGAGTTGTGATCCACTCGATGACAGTGGGGTTTGTTTGGAAATGCAGGCAGGGGTGGGGTGGGGTGTGTGAGGTATTCTAAGAGGGCAGACTAGGTGGCAGAGACAGGGAAGAGAAACAGGAAGCAGAAGCAGGAGCGAGTCCGGAGGCAGGGACCTTCCCCCGGAGCCGACAGACAGGAAAGCCTTTGCCCAGAGCCAGCCCCCTGAACTCGGACTGCTAACCTCCTGAACTGCCAGAGAACAAATTTCTGTTTGTTAAAGCCCCCCATGGATGTGGTACTTCTGTTACAGCAGCCCTAGAGAGCTAAGACGATGGAGCTGTTCTGTTGTCCGTGGGGTCGCCGAGAGTCAAAGCCAACTGAACGGCAAGTAACAACAACAACGTTAAAAAACCCCGCCATCCAGTCTATTCCAACCCATAACGATCCCATAGGATGGAGCAGAGCTGTCCCATAGGGTTTCCAAGACTGCAAATCTTTATGGAAGCAGACTGCCTCCCTCATCTTTCTCCCCTGCAGAGACTG